ACGGATGATAAAAAATGGTCATGCCACAATAATATTAGGACCAAAGTAGATCTTTTAAAAATAAAACAAAAAAATACTAAAAGTGGATTGTCACCTATAGGTCTAAGACAAAAAAATGAAATTATTCACTCTATTATAGTAATAACGTTTTTCTATTTTTGAACCGATGGATCAATGAATTGTATCATTACTATTGTCATTAGTTTTGGATTTTGATAATATGATTTGAAATCATAATTTTGAAACAATTTTCATTTTTGTACCAAAACATTTGTGTTAATAATGATAATATTTTGTAGCATTTAATAATTATTGCTATTAAATTTCAGAAGTAATGATTAAAAAAATTGATTGTTCCGTTATAACGGTTACAGAATAATTATTAATATTATTATAGTAATATCAATTATCAGTTGTGAACTGAAAAGTCAATGTGTCGTAATGTTATTATCAATTTAATTTTATGAGAATTTAATTTGCAAGTGAAAACCTATAGTATGGTGTTGATATTGTTAGAATTTACATTTTTAAACTACTTCTCATAAAGGTGAATATATGCATTGAGCTTGCATGAGTATCTCAACTGGTCATAAAGGTGAAACTTTGGAAGAATGACTAGGGATCAAGTCTCACCAGCAGCAGTGTGGGAGCAACCTCTTAAAGTGAGGCGGGCTCCTTGTGCGCGGTGAGCACCAATCCAGCCTCTATGGTTAATGTTCAGTTGAGTCGCCATGATTTACATCCTCCCAAATGCTCTGTTGGCCGGGTTGGGGTTTAGCCTTTTGGAAGAATATATGCATTGAAACCCATGACCTTTTGGAAGAATATATGCATTGGAACTCATGACCTCCCATATGAGAGAGATCACATGCTATCTGAGTATAAAGTGTTTGACAATTAAAAAAAGTGTATAATTATTAAATTATTATTCAAATTTTATAATCATACAAGTTTTGGGTTTATATTATTATTTTAATAATAATTTTATGGCTCATTTCAAATTACTATTATGTTATACAACTAGTTAGATATGAGTTTATTGAGTTCTATGCATTCACTAGCATATCACTATGTTTAATTTTCTAGTTACGAAAATTTATGCGTTTATAATTGCATAAGTCAGGAATTATAATAATTCCTTGTTAAGGATAACTTTACAGGGCGTTTGGTTGGAGGGATTTTAAATTCCCTTCCCACTTAATTCCCATCTAATTTCAAAGGCCATTAAATTTCATAGTTTGGTTGGAGGGAATTGCAATTCCTCAATTTTCATGGAATTAAAATCCCATGTCCCTCCCCCCCCCCCCCCCCCCCCCCCCCCCGGCCCGAAATTTTAATTCCTGGGGAAAAAAGATAATGATGCGTCAAAATTACCCATTTCTTTTTAACCTAAAATTAATGTCTAACAACAATAATGGGCATTTTTGACTTTATACTACTTATTCCCTTTCAATTCCCATGTATACCAAACATTGGAATTGAAATTCCCAGTAATTCTATTCCTGTCAACCAAACACTGGAATTTAAATTTCCACTTTATTCCCAGTAATTCAACTCCCATGGAATTACAATTCCTTTCCCACATAATTCCCTCCCTCCAACCAAACGCCTTGTTATGTGTGAAATTATATACGGTAAGGCATTATGTATGTTTAAGCATTTTAAGATCGTCTATAATGTTTATTTGAGATCAAAATTCTTTCCATATGTGAACTATTAAGATTTAGAAAGATTTTCCGTCAATTAGTGTGAGAAAGTATGAACCGGGAGAGTTTCTCGGGATGTGACCAATGTGCTACTAGTTCCCTGGAAAGATTACTTTGTCTAAGGAGTTGGTTTTTAATGAGACTTTGTCTCCATAAACTTTTTTGTGATTATACTTGGAGATTGTTTATCACACTGTTGCATAATTGTGTGTAGAATTTAAGTTGATGCCTAAAATATCAACATAATAGCATAGTGGTTATATGATTTTGATTGATTAAGGAGTAGTCACAACGTCTTTAATTAAATAAACTTTTGTGAGACCAGTACATACAGTCATGCACATATCGATAGTGATTAATTATATCCTATATAACGAAATTTAGCTCATAGTCAATTTTGTTATGTTTAATTTGTTTGATGCTTAATTAAGGTAATTAAAACACCAAGCTTTGATTGTAATTTAAGCAATATGCAATTATGTATCGGAGTGCAGTATAGTTTTGGTGGATTTATCATTGTAGATACAAAAGTCAAATTATTTACATTACAACCATATGTAAATAAATTGTCGTCTTCTATCATAAAGTCGTGATATATGTACATATTCAAAAAATATTTTTCTTTGTACATTTTGTGGTATTAGTCTAATTGATTTTTATGTGTATTTATTATCCATGAAAAATTAGATTAATAAGTTCATACATTAATATTTTTTTGTTTGCAAATATAAAGTGATCAATATTCAATACAATTTCATAATTGAAAAATTATTGAAATTTTTTTAATCATTTTCTAACTAAATTACATGAAGTATAATAAGATATACCCACAAAAATTTTATTAAAGTAAATTTTTAAATTGGTCCCTTGACTATAGTCATTTGTTAATTTGTTTTATCATTTTGTTACGCCACTCAATTTGGTCATCTGACTATAAAATTTGTATTCAAATTAGTCATCCGTTAGGGATTTGGTCAATTAGCGTTAAAACCAAGGGCAAATTTGTCATTTCGGTTGCTTCCCTCCATTTCTCCACCATTAGGTCCTCTGACTATAATATGTTAATTTCAAAGGTATAACTTCAAGATTAATATAGCTTATTAAATTTCATCCTAATATTGAATTGTATTTTTATCCCCTAGTAAATATTTCTAGTTCTGCCTAGCAAATTATACTCTAGACCATGGTTTACCTTGCATTGTGGATCAGACCAAAATAACATTCAGATTATGTGCATGCAATTAATATGTTCCTTCAGTTAACATATTTTGTGCATATAAATATATTATAGACACATAATATTTTAACTACAGACACATAAATTATGTACTAATTACAATTAAAATTTATATATCGATTGTTAATAAGTTATATGTCTACTATTAAGAAATTATGTGTCTACAATTTATTTATAGGAACAAAATATGTGGACCAATAGCAGAGCTCATACGATGAAGTATGCAAATTTTACCATGAAGTATTTGTGTGTATAGTGGCAAATTTTACCATGAAGTATGCATCATTTTAATAAGCTTCAGTTTTATTTAATTTGACAGTATTACTATGTTTCATTTTCCCTCCACTCGATCCTTGGTCATTCTTTCCAAACTTTACCCCTATAACCAACTGAGCTGCCCATGCAACCATGAATGCACCAGTAGTTGATTAGTTGACATACTGCCATCATTCTAAAATAAGAAAGCTCAATGAAATATCTTCAAGATCTTCTCCTCTAAGAGTGAATAGGAAACCTCCATGATCTTCTTTGATTTCTATAATTTTTGAATCTTTATTATCGTATTTGTTTTCCATAATTCGATAGGATTGGAAAACCTACATATTTTCTTTGCTTTCTACACTTCTCGAATCTCCAATCTTCTTTGGTTTCTATACTTCTTGAATCTCCAATCTTCTTTGCTTTTCATACTTCTTGAAATATGAATGATTCGACAATCTTCAATGCCTTCTAAGACTAGAAAACTAACAAAATAAAACACTTGCAAGTTGCAACATTTTATAATCAATTATCAGTTGTGAACTGAAAAATCAATGTGTCATAATGTTATTATCATTATTGTATGAATATTTGATTTTATTTTCATATTTATACTTTTAATGTGATATTATATTGTTTTTACACATATAATCGAATTAAGTGCATAATATTATGAATTAAATTAAGAAATTTTGACTAAAAATATGTGAATACAAATATTACCCCATCCCACTCTCCACTTCAACAGGATACCTACAACTCTTTTTTATCCTGCATGCCCCATCCTATGAAGTTCAATACCCACCCACCCTCGTCCTTATAGAAAATAGAGTAATTCTACACATACTCTGACATTCTACTTCATTTTCTACTCTCTGCTTACATGTTACCTTTCGATTCATTCAAAAAAATATGGGTCACAAGTTTTTATTATTAATTTCTTTTAATCTTTTTCTATTAAAATCAAGACACATGTTGTGAGCTTTACTCTATATCATTCGTCATTTTCCTTAAAAAAAATATCTACGAAGTGAGGGGCAATTTGCCAACGCCATAATACCAACCAGGCTCCTAGCCTGAAACCCGTACGATGAAGCGATAAATCCAAAACGTCCGGATGTTTGTGCTTTACCGAAATGATGCGCTGTTCGATTGATGTCGGTTACGTTTCTCACATCTTCAGGGGGGCAAACTTTGTGGCAAATCATTTAGCTACTATTAGCTTGTTAAACAACCTAACTTCTCTTCTTTCTTTCAATTATTTAATGATTTGCCTATTATTAATATTATTAAAATAACCTTTTTTTTCTAATTTGAGACAAACCCCTTACATTCATGGTTGTACGAAATGATCATATGCTTTTTAATTAATTAAGTTGGTGTTTTGAATTTTTTTTTTTTTTAAGTCCAAAGCATGTATTCATGTGTAATAGCAGTTGTACGCAAGATATGCACGTTTAAAGTTTGTAATGTCCCAAACTCAATTTTATAACCTTAGCATGTATTTGACTCTAATTTGTTACTTGTTCTAACTAAAAAAAGTTTTTAAAGTTTGTAATATCCCAAACTCAATTTTACCACCTGGCCTTAACATGTATTTGACTCTAATTTGTTAGTGTTTTAACTAAGAATAAAAAACAGGTCAGAAAACATACTCATCATCTTATGAAAAGTGATGACATCTAAGTTTCAGGTCAAAATGGCTAGATAAGAGACTAGAAGTAACTCCAATAGTCATATTAGTTGGATTTTAACTTTTAAGCGATTGATCTTAAAGCAATGAAAGCTAGGTAGCTAGCTAGCCATTATCTACTGCTAGTATAAACCTAGGTAGCTAAGCTAAGCTACTTGGTTCTCCCAACCCTCATTAGTGCTACATAAGCAAGTAACCTGTATCCTATCAGCATGAGAAGCAATGCCACCACTGAGAAGATTACATGTTGCCCTAGTCCTATTTTCTTAATGGCCGGATGATCCTCAACCAAACAAACCCCAGACCCGGACGTACAAGGATATGTCTCACCCGGCTTGTACTGCGACTCCAACAACAACTTGTACGTATACTGCCCGATTGATATGTACTTGATCCATGATATGAAGCTGGGAACGTGGCGCACGTAAAACCCTCCGGCTAGAAGGAAGGCTAACATGATCACTGATCCGAGGGTGGTGGCGGATTTCTGATCCATGATGAACGCGCCAATGGCCAGCCCCAGGCCCTGGCAGACTAATACGCATAGGAGGATGGCTGATAAGGCGGAGAAGAAGTTGCCGGCGGTTGGTTTCAGACCGGCCATCCAGTATGATATTATGACGAAGACTGTTGGAAGGACCAGCTCCATTGGAAGGTCACCCACAGTTCTTGCCAGGAAGAATGATGAGAGTTTGTACATGCCTGATGATCTTTCCTTCCCAAGCATCATTTTGTCTTCTGGGAATGTAAAGATTGCTTGGAAGAGTGGGAAGAATCCCCAGAATGACGATATGAAGAACAGAAGCCCAACCTGCAGCACAAAGAAACATGCATTCTGGATTAGAACCAGATACAGTCCAATCAGTTCAGACTTTTAGTTGAAATGGAGCACATAATAATGAACTACCTGATCTTGCAAGTCGGTGGATTTCCACCACAAAGCCCCAGTGAGAAAAGCTACAACCAAAACTTGGCCAACTTTCAGGCCTGAGAAGGACTCGTACTTTCGCTGTTTCAATCCCCTTTTCAACAACACTGAGAATTGTTCCCACCACGGTATTGCCCATCGCTTGAATTGCTTTTGGTCGCCAGCGCTGGAAACATCCTCGTCGTTAAGTTCATGTAGTTCCATCTTCAAATTCTCTAGCAAATTGGTCTTAAAAGCGGAAACTAAGGTTTCCTTCACTGTCGCTTGATCCGCCTGCGAATCATCACCCGTAATACCTGTACTCAATTAAGATAAAGATAAAGATACACGCAAGAAGGGTAGAGGTGGAGTAGGAAGAAGAAAAAAAAAAGTGAAAAAGATGAGATCATACCATTTGCGAGGTCTAACAAGAAGTCGGAGGGATTCATGGCGACTGAGGGGGAAAATCCAACGGTGGAGAAATAACTCATGACGTCCGATCCCTTCCCAAAATACAAGGGGTTTCCTTCGCACAACAGAAGAACTTTATGGAACAAGTAAAACAACCTGCTCGAAGGTTGGTGGATGGTCATCACGATTGTTCTCCCACCCTTACTAAGTTCCCACAACGTGGACACTATCCGCTGAGCGGTGGTGGAATCCAGCCCAGATGTCGGTTCGTCCAAGAAAAGCAAACTGGGGTTTATGAGCATCTCTTGTCCGATGCTAACCCTCTTTCTTTCTCCCCCGGAAATCCCTCTCAGAAAGACACCACCTATGATGCTGTTTTTGCACTTTGTCAACCCAAGCTGAGTAATCACGGCGTCCGCTTGCTCAATCTTTTCCTGTTTAGTGAGAGTCCTGGGCAGACGGAGCAGAGCCGTGAAGACTAGGGTCTCCGTCACGGTAAGATGAGGGTACAAGATGTCATCCTGAGTAACAAATCCGGTGTTCCGCTTCATGGCGTTTGAAAAAGGTTTGCCGTTGTAGGTTATAGTCCCGGCGAGATGGCCGCCCAGTCGGCCTCCCAGTGCGGTTAGTAGAGTGGTCTTGCCGCTCCCTGAAGGGCCCAGCATGGCAAGAACTTCGCCGGGAAACACAATCCCCGTCACCCCTTTCAAGATTATTTTTTCTGCTTCAGATTTTTGTTTCTTGGTTTTCAGGAAGCTTAATCCTTGTTTTTGGTCCGGCTTCACCTTGTAAACCACATTCTCAAACTGCACGCCAATTTTAACCAATTCAAGTCACGCCAATTTTAGTAAAATACAAGACAAAAATTGTCCATGCCCATGCCCATGCAAGAAATTAAAAGAAAACCCATATCTATTATCTGAATATATGAAAGAAAGAAATCCATAAACCATGGAAAAAAGGTGAGATCGATCGAGTACCTTCAAAGTAACAGGACGATTGGCTTTCTTGAAGATGGCTGCAGAAGTATCGGATTCCAGTTGGGGGTTGGCTTGCAATTGGGTGGTGGGAGCCTCTATGTCGCCCATCTCCGTCGCGGTCTCCATTAACGTTGCTTCTTGTTGATCTGTTGCCGACATAGATTACATTAATAATTTAATCATATATATATAACGTAAAACGGATGGGGCCAGGGAATTGAACCTGAGGATGATGGGAATGATTCTGGGCAGTGAATTGCGTTGAAGAAGACAAAACACAAGTGGATCTATCTATGAAGCTACTGAATTATTGTACATGTGGGCGGATACGACGTTGATTAAATTCATCGTATCATGCGAGAGAGATGAATCGGATTTCAAGGTGGCAGCAGAAAGGGAGTGTTTGGTGAGTTATTCAAGGAAGAACATCACAGATCAAGCCGAGTTTTCAGCTCCGAAGGCTCTCCCTTAATTGGTTGTCAGGTTTTAATTTGTTTCAGGGGTTTTCGCCTTTCTGTTGTATGTTCACTTTAATTTATAACTTTCTTTTCGCTTGCTTTCCTGAATGCGCTGTTTCCCGCTTTTCTTGGTAGTTGGGACTCGTCTATGTACGCTGATTATTTGCAACACTTTCCTAGGTTTCCTCTTCACATGTTCGCCACGTGCAACTAACTATCGCTTCCGCCTGTCCTCTCAGATCGTCATCGATGAGAGAAGAAGATCGTCATCATCTACCAAATTCATTCCAACATTCCATCTCAATTAGTTTAATCTCAAGTTTAAACGCTTTTCACAGTCAATACATAAAAATAATAATTCAATTCACACCTACAAGATCTATTAAACTGATTTAAATTTAAATTCTTATAATCTTACGCTAATAACTAATTCAACAAATTTTCATATTATACATCAAATCTTTCCGTTAATCAATTAATTTCATATCAAAATTAAATTTGTATTGAATCAAACAATTAATATAATATTATTTTAAATTAAACACTTTAATCTAAAATATTATAATCACACCAAATTTCCTAAATATCATTCAATTATATATCACATAAAAAATCATTATTTAAGGTTCAAATATCACAACAATATAATTATATTACTACTATCATAAAATCATATTTTGAAAGGTAATAATAATATTATATCATTAGCAAAAACTTCTAGAATATTAACATTGCAACAAATAAAATATTTTCAAAATAATTATTATAATGATAATTAATACTACCAAAAAATATCTAATATTTATATGATAATACAATTATTTCTATAATATGAAAATCATTTTTCCATTAATGAATACTAGTATTTTCGCCCGTGCGATGCACGAAATGAATTTGTTAATATATAAAAAATATTTGGATCGATATACAATTATTTAAATTAGAATATTAAATATTATATAATGCAATTGAAGATATGGTTTGGATCATTTATGTGTTTTGATGTTATCATTGCTTAAATTTGAGCAAATAATTGCTCAAATTAAAAGCTAATGTGTAGATGTACGCATGCGATGCTGTAACTTTGGAAATTTTATTTATCATTATTTAGTATTTTTTTTTATAAATTAGACAAATGTGTTCGTTCTCTAGCAACATAGTTATAGGAATGAATTGTTATCTTAATTCATTTGTATGGAAGAAATATTTTTTTGTCTAGATATATAGCAAATTTGTCATTTAAAAAAATATAATATCAACGATTGTATTTACACATTATTGAAATCTCTTTATAGACGACATTGGTAGTAGCAATACAATCTTGTCCATCATCGTCTAAAGCTAACACCTTTAGTCCATCAAGATGGGTGACTCGGGTGAAAAAATATATAATGATAGAGTATTAGTCAATTAGTGATTCTTTTATATTTTAAGTCAATTAGTAATATCATATTCATTTTCAGTCAATTATTCTTTGTTGGGCGTCAACTGGGTTGGCGGAGTTCAACCCCTGTTCGATTCGAGACGTGGCGCTGTGGCTTAAATGGTTAATGTCCACCTATCTATCATCAATTAGTTTTAAGTAGGATATGACAACCAGGTATTATAGAATTTTGTGGTTAAGCGTGCTTGACTTTCGGCAATCCCGGGAGTGGTAACCCACTGGGAAGTAAGCATAATGCAGCAATGAGATCCAACATTCTTTTTTATTTGTACCCAATTAGAATATCATATGCAGTGATATTTTTACCTAATTTTCGTTCCATTTTTAATTGATAATGCATAATATTATTATTAAAATATTTTTCGTTCTATTTTTAATTTACCTTTACTATTGTTTAAAATATGCATTTACTATTTATGATGTAGAATATTATTATTGAAATAATTTTTTCAAATTTAATTATGGATCATTTTTTATTTCCAATCAACTATTAATATTCATTTCTTTTAATATTTTCAATCAATTAGTAATATCATATTCATTTTTAGCAAATTATTCTTTTTTATTTTCAATCAATTAGTCAATTAACCAATTAATATCAGATGCATTGATATTTTTACCCAATTTTTGTTCCATTTTTAATTGATGATGTAGACTATTATTATTGAAATATTTCCGTTTCATTTTTAATTTTTGTTGCATTTTTAATTTACCTTTACTATTTTTTAAAATATATCTTTACTATTGATGATGTAAAATATTATTGTTTAAATATTTCATTTTCATGTTTAAAGATATTAATTAATGTCTTTTTTATACGATATTATAAATACGTAAAAAATATACAGAAAATTTGCAAACAATAATGTTACCAAAAATATTATTATATTATAGAACTAGTAATTCACCCGCGCGATGCACGGAAAAAATTATGTTATTATAAATATAAATAAAAAAATAGAAAAAATAAAAATATTTAAATTGTTTAATATAATAATATAAAACAAAAGAAAAGGATCATGGAAAGTGGTAGAAAAAATGGAGCCAGACATTAAGGAACCACCTTCTACAGGTAGAGATTGTGGAGTGTATTTGTCTATCTTCTCAAATGCTTCAAAGAAATGACAGAAGCGAAAAGGGATGAAGAAAACAAATGCTGCGAGCCGTAGGTCAATTATTGAACTTCAGAATTAAAAAAAAAAAAAAAATCATTTGAGCCATAAATAAAAATTTAAATATATAAATGTATATATCGTATGGGTCTTTAATGTTTTTCTGGATTTCTAAACTTAGGACTTAAAAAAAAAAAAAATTCATTTGAATTATCTCCACAAAAAGTGGTCTTGGGCTTATAGAATGACATGTGGCTTTATGGAATGACATGTGCATAAAGAATATATTATATAATCATATAAAAAAATGTGTTCAATTAGAGTTTAAATTTACTCCTACAAAATTTGAAATTTGCTTTCTAAATGTAATTATCTTAGTTATTATTCGTATTGTGAAAATTATAATATAGATGAAATACAATTCAGAATAAATCAATGTAATTATGTAAATTCCCTTATAAGTTTATTTGAATATGTACATAATTAGAGATTATATTAACCATACAAAATTTTAATTTTAATTTTAATTATAATTTTGAGTTTTATAAAAATAATAAATACTTGACCAATGGAAGCTCAAAAATATTATTATATTAAACAATTTAAAATATTTTTATTTTTTCTATTTTTTATTTATATTTATAATAACATAATAATTGTAACATTAATTACTTCCCAAACCATATAGCTTTATTATAGTTAAGATTTAATTAATATGTATTTTTCTATATGGTGTTATATATATTATTACGTTAATAAGTGAATATGGAAACAATATTGCGAAGTTTTTCGTTAATATTCATTTTACATTTGCTTTATTAAATTAGTTGGTGAAGATACAGCTACGCATGAAAGATAAATTCAATCTAAAAATAGCAATTTGTAGTTCTGTATGTGCACATGCACAAATTTTGAAGGCTAAAAAGAATCTTGCGGAAGTGTAAAAAAAAAGATTTACTAAAATAAGTACAATTTCAACTAATATATAATTTACCAATAATATTAATTCCTATTTTCTACTATATTATAATTTCATTTACTATTATATGTGAAACATTTATTTTTTAAGTTATACGAAAGAAATTGTGATTACAGAGAGGGAAATTGTAGTGAGTAGCTCTTAAGTGTTTTCACCACTTCAAGGATGGAGTTTGTTCATGTGAAGATAATATAGTAGATACTGATGTAGGTTGATTATTTATAATATCTGGAACTCTGAAAATAAAATTTGAGGCCTAAGATCATATAGAGCACTCTTTGATCCTAAATTAAAAAATAATCAGTTATATACACATTTAGCTATTACTAATACTTTATCTATATCTGTAGTATTGAACCTTTAATGTGAGTTAGGAAAGAAATAATCAGTTAAATTCATTCCATCATTCCATCTCAATTATTTAATCTCATCATTGTATATAAAGTTAAAACGATTTTTACAGTATAAATAAAAATAATAATTCAATTCACACCTAGAACAATCTATTAAACTGATTTACATTCTTATGATCTTACGTCAATTCAACAAATTTTCATATTATACATCAGATCTTTCCGTTAATCAATTAATTTCATATCAAATTAAATTTGTATAAAATCAATCAATTAATATTATAATATTATTTTAAATTAAACACTTTAATCTAAAATATTATAATCACACAAGATTTCCTAAATATCATTCAATTATATATCACATAAAAAATCATTATTTAAGGTTCAAAAATAAATATTTCAAATATCACAACAATATAATTATATTACAAATATCATAAAATCATATTTTGAAAGGTAATAATAATATTATATCATTAGCAAAAACTTCTAGAATATTAATCATTGCAACAAATAAAATATTTTCAAAATAATCAGATAATGATAATTAATATACCAAAAAATATCTAATATTTATATGTAATACAATTATTTTTATAATATGAAAAAGGTAATTTTATTTGCACCACCCAATTTGCTATTTGCACATCTTCTTTAATAGGTATAATAGCTTTATAGGTGGTGCAAATAGAAAAGTCCACCATCATTAAATGTGGTCAAATATTAATATTTATTATTTATTTTTTTAACAATCAAAATATTATTTAAAAAAAAAATGAATTCGTCGTCTTCTCCGGTGAGAAGGCGACCCACTGGACTGCAGCCTAATTTTTTTTTATTTTTTATTATTACTTTCTCGTCACCTTCTCCGATGAGAAGGCGAGGCAGCGCCTTCTCACTGTAGAAGGCAACTGGGCTGCCTTCTGGTTCGC